ATATATACACCTATATATATATACACCTATATATATATACCTATATATATATACACCTATATGTATAGATACATATATATATATATACATACCATTATTGCGGGAGGATGGCGGCTTCACCAGTGAAGTTTCTTCACTGGCCCTGTGCTGGGTGAGTATGCTGCTTCAAGTCTCTTCCTTCCTCTTCGAGGTTGACAGCTCAGCCATGTGGTTCTGTTCCGGTTTAGGGTTGAGGATTGAGGGTTTAGGGCATAGGGTATAGTCCCTAAAGCATGGCTCTAAGTTGGCACAGGACCATTGGGAGTGATTTCAAAACAATCTCTATAGAATCCCGGACACACCCTCAGAGCCCTGGTAATCCCTAAACCCTGAACCCTAAATCCCTGAACCCTGAGCCTTAAACCCTACATATCCCTTTGGGGATATTATGGATACCCCCTTTGAGAAACCATCGTTCAAATTTTATTTCTGGGGCCCACAGTCATAGTTTAGGATTTATGGCTTAGGGTTTAGGGTTTTGGGTTAGGGGATCGAATCCCGAATAGCCTTTTAGCTGAACCCCTCAACCCTGCAAGCCCTGGATAAGTTTTGGGTTTAAGGATTAGGGTTCCCGATTTAGTGTTTAGGGTTTAGGCTTCTCAACCCAAGCATGCTCAAGAGCTCCTAGGATAAATCCGTTTCATGTAATCTTGATATCTACAGCAAGTTTAGTAGCGTTATAGTACTAACCCTAAACGCTACACCCTAAATTTATACCTGACATGACAAGGCACAGCTGCAGCATACGGCTGAAGCCATGCCGGAAGGGCAGGCGTCAATAGAGTAGTATTTTAATTGGGGATACTATGGTACCCAATAAGGTGCTCAAGCGATTGCAGACTGTGGTAGCCCCCCCGTAGGCCTTTCTGCGGTGCCACAGTTATAGGAGCGATGGCAGTTGTGGACCCAGCCGCCCTTGTTGCAACAGCGGTCTGTGCTGCTTGTTTGGCCAAGGCCCCTCGTCGCACTGTGCAAGGCGTTGCAGCTGCAGTCGTCTCCGTCCTTGCGAAACCTGCAGAGTTGACACCGAACACTGTCCGAGGTGAGACTGCCAAAGGCACTGCGGCTTCTTTGGACGTCCTGGTGCAAAGCGAAGAAGAGAGGCGTGAGGCTGTCAAAGCCAAGCGCAGACTCAAGAGACAACGCAAGCGTGCACCAAAGGCTGCTAGCCATGCAAAGCAAAGCGATCCGGACAGGCAGACAGGAGCAACTGGGGTTATTGTGAATGCTGCCAACAGTGCGGATGCAGAAGTTACCTCAAGAAAAGCCCCACCGCCGAACGTTAGGGACACCACTGGCGATACGCCCCTGGGCAAGCGCTTCCGTGATGTCGCTTTGGGCTTGAGCAAGGAAGATGATGGCGGTGCGCAGGAGAGGGCTTTGGCTGCGGCCTTTCCTTCAGGTTCCATGCAAAGTTGTTTCTCCTCACGTGAAATGCCGCGCTTGTGCACTGGATTCTCCACTTGGTATGACGCTGTCCTCAACTCTGGGGCGGCCCATTTCCTTGATGGGAAGACCCGAGCTGTTTGCAGATCAGACATTGGTGAGCCAACTGATTTTGACAATCACTGGATTACACTTGCAAGCAAGAGACCTGCATTGGAGCAGGGCTCTGAATGGCTTGTCTTTCCGAAGGTGCGGCAACTTTCCGGACACAGCTGTTCTTCTGAGCATACATCCGAGACTCCTCTGACCTTCATTGCCGTCTTTGTAGACCAGAGAGAAGAGATTTTGAGGTAGCAGCCACCACATTTTCTTGGCGCTGGCAACAGACCAGGCGCTCAGGAGCTTCGATGACTGCCTGATGGCCAAGAATAAAAATACTATTGTACCCAATACAGAGTAAGATTATATCCTCCTTTTGGGTATAGTCTTTTATATAAGGAATATTTTTTTACTAGGTTCAACCACCAAGAAAACACTAATTACTCAACAGGGGATGTATAGGGTCCCATTGAAGGGCTGATATGCTGTGTCGCGCAGAGTAGACGGTCCTCTACCGCTCTTTTCCATATTTTCTGTCCAGAATTCTGGTTGTAGCTGTCCCAGTCCTAGCCAGTCAATCGCAGAGCCTCCAATTGATCTCCGAAATCAGAACGAAGGGGACCCTAACCCTTATCCCTGGATGTGAATGGCAGCAAGAGGTAGGCTCCAATCTTTCCGGGATTCCAGTATACTCTGAGCGAGATGCGCGACCTGTCCAAAAGTAAGGGTTGCCTGACAGACCTCGACCGTATGTTACTTCCTCTTTATTACGGGCTTTGCGTTCAATGCAGACACCACGCCCGACGCCCTGCATGGCGCTATTTATGTGGACAGGTTTTGATGGCTTTCCCACAAGGCACTCGCCTAACATATAGTAAGATTCTATTCTCCTCCTGGTTATTGCCGTCTCTCAGAAAAAGGCTCTTACTCGACTCAGCCAAAGACGAAAGTTCCTCAAAATATGGTGTACACATATACTCCCCGCAGGGGCAACCTTCCCCCTTACATCACCAAAGAATCTTGAGGGCCCGTCCTGTAAAGCTAAACCCTAAATAGTAGTTTCCAAGTTATTTTCCATTGTCCCTATATAGCCCAATATATAATAGTAGTTTTCATGTTATTTTCCATTATCCCATTATAAACCCAATATAAATATTGCCCCTGCCAATGGTCCTTCAGGAATGCCTACATTGTCAGTAGACAGACCGAGGTTCCGCGAGCACGTCTGCTGGGAAGCCCGATGATCCTCGGATCACATGTAATCAATCATGTAATCACGGTATTGGATCCGACAATGAACCCATAAACTTGTTCTATACAGAAGCAGCATATGCTTGAACCCCAAAAGTATGTAGAATTATAGCATTTTTCGGCTCTTGCTGTGGGGTTTGGTCCATGATTTTACCTACCTTTCAGGTCCAAGTAGCTTCAACACTGAATCCCGAACCCTATCCTGAGGATCTGGCAGGAATGGCGTGCGCACAACCTGGTTTTTGTTGGCAGGTTCCGCCCTCAGAGTAGTGCACTTTTTTCCCAAGGTAGCTCGGGACAGGATATACAGGTTTTACAGTAGATGTTGCACCAAAATAATCTGGAATCAGATGACTCCGCCGTTCAAGAGGACGGCAGGGTTCTTTTCCAGATTCCATATTGGCTTCTTGGAGGGTAGGACTAGCTTCTGCAGCAACTGTTGCTAGCTGAACAGTCTATGGGGGCTTATCGAAGTCATCTACTTGTGTTGTGCAGGCAGGGACTTTGCATCTTACATTACAATGGTCTCTAGAGCTTACTTTGGGCACAGGATGTGTAAATTGGTTATAGATGGGGTTACAAGTCCTCCAGATGGGGCTGGCTTGTTTCCAACCCAATGTATACGTAAACCCTAAACCCTATAACCTGTTTGTCAGGTTCCCGGGCTCTTCAAGTACTCCTTCATTCCCTATCCAACAGTAAACAAACTAGGTACAGTAAATAGCAACACGATATTCTCTGATGCACCTCCATCCGGCAATGCAACACCTACCTGTAACCTCAAGTTCCTACAGTTCAGTGGTATTTGCTCCCAGTTCTGGTTAGTAGTACCCCATAGACTCTAGGCAAGTGGGGTACTGGTAGGTTCCCATGCTTGCAACTACACTCGCTTCTTAACCAAATGCTTTGTGCATGCCCTACCTCAACCCCTCCTTGCTGCCAAGGCATGTTCTGGCTTTCACCATTTGCTGGGTCTACATTCGCTATGTCAACATTTCGGATGATTTCGCGACCTTTTTCGTGGACATGCTGCTGTTTGCAGTGCCGTGGCTGCAAACATTGTATTTGGGTTGGTCTACAGCATGCACATGTACAGATAGCTCTCTCTCTCTCTCTCTCTATATACATATATATATATACACATGCACACATTTCTTGTCTGTTTGTACGTGTGGCATGTAGGTATTTGGATGTAGACAGAGGGGGGCAGAGACAAAGAGAGAGAGAGAGACAGAGACTGAGACTAAAGCAAAGCAAAGCGCAGCCGAAAAAAGACTATGCATTTACATAGGGCCCAGGGCTTCGTCTCACTACGAACGCAGCTATTTAGACGTCTATGCAGTTTTTTGGGGGGGGCTTGAATCATCATATCAGCACAGTTCCTAAACCCTAACTCTGATTCAGGGAGCCAGCAGCATGCCATTGTCGTTCCTCCTAGTTTTTTTGGATTTAGGGTATAAATAGGGTTTAGGACATACGGTTAGGGGTACAGGGTTTGGGATTTAGGGTGAGCATCGTTGCTGCGCTGGCACAGCCAGGATTGACAGAGCTTAAAAGCCCGCAGTAGTGAAGTAAAAGGGGGCAGGATTGTTGATGGACACAACCCGGGTATAGGGTTTAGGGTTCAAGATTAGGGTTTAGGGCAGGGTCATGGTAGTATTAACCCTATAGCAAGCAGCAGCATCATGCAGGGCTTTGTTCCTGATCAGTAGTAGCTGCGCCACCAAGGGAAATTCGATCATGTAAATTCAGGCAATATGTCGCACAACCCAGTATTTGAACGAGCCAGCCGCGCTGCATGAGTGCTTGGGAGGGGCTTGGAAAGCGCCCTTTGTGCTTTGCAGTCTCGCATCTCAACCCAAGACGTGCATAGATCAGATTTCAAGGCGAAGCGACCCAAACTTCTAAGCCCTGACTTCTGTTGGCTTTTTTAGACTGTTGCTCTCAGGTTTTGTACGCTCAGCTGTACTCTGTCGATGTGATCACCGCTTACATTCGTGAGGAGAGGTTGTTTGTCAGCAGGGGCTTGGCTGTGTCAGGGATGTGTCTGCAAGAAAGACACCAATGCTACCTCCCATCCTCACTGCTTTTGGCATTTGGACCATGAATTAGGCAGATTTGAACGGAATCCAGATCTTTGTTGTCATTGGGCAGACAGCTCGGTCTGCCCACGCGTCCTTGGCGCTCATTGACTAACTGATTGACCGACTGGATGACGCCCCTTAGAGCTACAGTATGCTACTAGGTACCCCAGTAGTGCCCTTTTGCCCTTTTTGTTTTGGGGTCTCCTTATTAAAGCTGAATAGTAGGAACAAGGGTACCCTCATTATTAATGGGTTACTGGGGAACCCAGGCTACCTCAATACACCTTAGAACCCTTAGTTGGTCCAATCCCCCTCGGCTCATCTCTCAGATCTCTCTCCTCTTTCTGAACGCTTCGTATGTATATACCCTTATAGCTTATGCGGGGTTGATCTCGGGACGATGATATGGGTGTTTATTGATAGCATTGGGGCTGGAAAACCCTAGTGAAATCCTAACTTTAAGCCTCAAACCTGAACCCTTAGCTGCCCTAAAGCCCAAACACTTCAAATTCACACTTCCCGAAACCCTTCCACCTCAATCCTTCACAGCCATCAACCCTACAACCATAAAAGTCCCTAAAACCTAAACCCTGCAGGATAAACATACCAGCCTAACGGCTAGTTGGCCCTTTTGGGACGGCTGCCCCATCTGGCTGGAAAAGTCCATCAAGTGGCTTTTTAGGGTTTAGGGGTTTAGGGGTTTAGGGTTTAGGGGTTTAGGGGTTTAGGGATTAGGGTTCAGTGGGGTTTAGGGTTTAGGGTTTAGGGTTTAGGGTCAGTGGCTGCGTTGCTGTGGGGGGTTTACTGGATCAATGTTAAGGGGAACCTTTATGCTTTCTGGGGTAGGGGATCCTTGATGCTTTTTTGGGTATGGGATTCTTTATAATCATGTAAAAAGGATCCTCTTTCTTCCTACGGTACTGTGGGCTAAGTTTAGGGCTTGGGGTTTCTGATGTGGAACTCAGGGCGCAGGGTTCATGTGGGGTTTGGTGTTCAGGGGGTTTAGGGCTTAAGGTTTCTGAGGTGGAGTTCATGGTATAGGGTTCCAAATGGGCTTTGGGTTCAGGGTCTGGGGTTTGTGGTCTTGGGAGTATGGGGCGTTGGGTACAGATTGCATGTCTTAGAATTGTAAGCGAAAGGATTTCACGGGTGTGTAAGTTCACTTACAATCCCTGATATGCCTACGTGTTATTTCCCCTGCAGAAAGTATAACCCCTGCAGAATGCATGTAGACCCACAGCAGAAACAAAATCCTAAGTCCTAAACGGTAAATCTTAGCCTCTAAACCCTAAACCAAAGACAATCCCTACAGAATTCTACATTAAAACCTAAATAATCCAGCAGGTACTATTTTCTTTCCCTTTGTAAGCCCAACACCCTAAACCCAGGTGGTACTACACCATCGCGCAGTTTCAGGCAAGCTCCCTTCTCGTAATGACTGGCAGCTCGCTATTCGACAAGTACATGGTTCCTCGGCCCAAGGTTTAACTTTCTTAGGGGATTTAGGGTTCAGGGCATAGCAGCCCCTGAATCCCACAATGTGGGGTTTGGGGTTTGGCGTTTAGGGCTTAGGGCAGGCTACTGGCGCAAGACGGCCCCGGGATGGCAACTGCATCCTTGCCACGCTCGCGCGTGATGGGCACTACTGGGGGGTTTAGACAGTGCAATCGAAATTGTTAGGTCCGTCCCCCTCTACAGCAATAGCTCCCTAATATGAGGAGTTAGTCGGGCCTTCCTATACCCACAATGGTCCCTTGTGGTACCCACTACTGGGTGCCGAGCATGGCATGCATATTCGGGCTGCGTGGCGGAAGCATGGAAGACCTGGCAAGAGTACCATTTCATCTCTCAAGTTCAGCAGCTGAAAAACCAAGGGTGCAGAATACGACCTAGATAGGGCTCAAGCATCACCTCTACAATGCGCGATCGTGAAAAGCCGTGCGCGAAAGCTGCGCAGAGAGCGAGACCAACCTGTAGATTGCAAGTATCAAAGAGAGTGCTTCCATGGAGTGGAGGCAGTAGATTAGAAAGCTTGGAAGGGCCTAGAAGGGTTTCTACAAGAGTCCGTTGTCCTTACACTATGATTCCCCACCAAATGTTTTCAATGCCTGGGTTTGGATGTTTTGCAAAGGGGCAGGCCGGGCATCCGTTTGAGTATTTCAAGATCCGCATATTTGCAAAGCCACTGCGAAATCAAAACCGTCAACCCTAAAAGCTACGGCAGCTTCCATGTTCTTTTCCATTTCTTCATTCCCAGTTAAAAAAGCCCTAAAACCCTAAAAACCTAAACCCTAAACCCTAAACCCTAACTTGAGGGATTCCAGACCTGGCTGCTGGAGTGCATGAGGTCATCTTCCCCTTCCAGTTTGCCTCCTTTCTGATGACACTGGTCAGGAAGCTGGGTTGCTGTTAAGGAACTTAATTTAAGTTACTATTTAGGGTTTAGGGTTTAGGGCTTAAGTTAGATTATCCCCGCATAATGGAGAATCAAATGGAAAGGAACATGGAAAATGAAATGGACACTGGGGGAATATAGAAAAATTAAGGAACTTAATTTAAGTTGCTATATCAGGGAAACCCTATCATTTACTCTATATATAGACACACACCCGTTACCCGTTATGGTAACTTAATTTAAGGGAACAGCAACCCAGGAAGGGCATCATCACCACCAAGGGCTTCCATGCCGGATACCTGTGGAGTTTGTTCATGGTGGTGTGGCTCATCCTGGGGCCACAGAACTTTCTCGTCTCTGGGTTGCTGTTAAGGAACTTAAATTAAGTTACTATATTGGGGAAACCCTATTATTTACTATATATACCCATTATGGTAACTTAATTTAAGTTCCTTAACAGCAACCCAGGTCTCCGTGGTGTCCTTCGCCACGTGGATCATTCTCTACATTTGGCGATCTTATGGCCTCTCAAAGTACGCGCTTTGGTTGGGCCCACTTCTCTCCAAGATGCTGGCATACTACCACATCACTCCGGACAACCCTCTTGTGCAATTGGGCACAATGATCCTTTGTTGCAGTTTTAATGGCAATAGAAATCTTAACTTAGCCAACACCGGCCGGCTTTGCTGGGTTATCATTGGCAAAATCACATGTTGAGGTGGCGTGTTCTTATCCCATATAGACCACACATTTGTTGCATGTCCAAACAGGCCCTTGCGAGGATAAATTTCACTCATGCAGGGGCTTACAAGATACTACATATTGAACTCCTTACATCGTCCCCACAAAGCAGTGGCCTGGGAATTGTTGATCCTGACAGCCAGTTAGGATGATTACCTGGATCGTGTGCATGGTGCTTCAGAAGTGTGTCATGGGCTTCGCCACAGAGGCGCGCAGCAGGTGTCTCAGAATCGGGGTACCTTAAGGACCCCCAACTATAGAAGGATGTTAAAATTATGGCGTTTTTGGGGGTGCCGATAATAACATGGTCCCCAACATCTAGGGTGCCTTAAACAGAGAGACCATGATTTGGACAACCCGTCTTAGGGGGATTATCGAGGCCCCGATGAAGGATTCTATAGGAGCATAGTAACCCTAAACCCGTAACCCCTTAACCCCTAATCCTCTAAACCCCAACTCTATAGTCCCCCTTAAGTAGATAGAATATGGCTTTGGGCATATTATAAGAAGATTCACAATATACCCCATATTCTATCTACTTCAGGGGGACTACACACCCATGGAGGACTCCCAAGCTTCCTTGGTCTTCTTTTAAAAGGGGGCTTTGGGTTTAGCGTTCCGAGCCCGTAGGCTATTGAAATCCCATACCCCAGGCCAGGAGAACCCAGCTATAGGGAGAAAAAGGGGCTCGATGGGGACAGATACAGGATTACAAGAGGATATATGAGGGTCTACATAAGGCTATCTGTATATGTATATATATATATGTATATATATGTATATATGTATATATATATATAGGCGGTTGCGTGGGGACTTATACAGGGTTACATAGAGATATACAAGCGGTTACATAGGGATATATTGGGGATTACATGGGGAAATATAGGGGGTATTCAGGGGTAATTATACACACACATATTGCCAACAGGTGCGCGCTCGGCGCTTTTTGGAGGCCCGACAGAAGCCGATGAAGCTTGTGGACAAAGAGACCATCAGCAGCTAGTCTGGCAAACTGTGCTTAGGTTAAGGGTATAATGTAGAGAGGGTATATAGGGTTGTAGTGGAGGACGGAAAAATTGGAAACTCGGTTCGTATAGGGATTTAGGGTTTAGGTCTAGGTACGTGCTCGAGAAGTTTACTGTTTAGACTTCCACTCTTCAGGTTCAGTCTTACAGACCCAGCAGAGCAGGTTGCAGTTAGGGAAGGAGGGGGGGGGTTGCAACACCTAAACCCTAAACCCTAAACCCTAAACCTTTCGATACGCGGCCCACGCCTGGTCAAGGCTTGTTCTGAAAGGCATTACAGTAATCTGGGTTGCTGTTAAGAACTTAGATTAAGTTACTATATTGGGGAAACCCTATTATTTACTATATATACCCATTAGGGTAACTTAATTTAAGTTCCTTAACAGCAACCCAGTAATTATGTATGGTAGTTCATTCCTAGATGCGTGCGTGCCCAGGAAGGGGTATCATCTCAGGAATCCCAATCTGCAGCCAGCTGTCGTTTTCCTCACACGAAATCACTCATGCAGAGCCCCTAACCCCCCCTAAACCCTAAACCCAAGACTGCCCAGGTGATAACTTTGTGCTTCTGAAGTTTGAAGTGCCAGCGGGATACGCTGCTGGAATCAACCCTGGACAGCATGTGAAGGTTCATGTGCCTTGGCTCTAGGTTTTGTGATTTTGCATTAAGGGTGTAAAAGGAACACTAGACCCTAAACCCTATGCGCATGTTTCCCGACACCAGCTGAAGTTGCAGCAGCCAGCAGTGGAGCACTTGTAGTACATCGTAGCTTCAGCACCATACTGCGAGGCTCACAGGGCTTGGTAACTCTTTACATTTTTGGGTTTTAAGGGTGTGTATAAATAGTGGTATCATGCGGATATAGGTTCCAAAAAATGAGAATCGAGTGGAAAAGAAAATGGAAAGTGACCCCTAGTGCTGCGAAACCCTCATGCCTCCAGCTCAACAAGTATCGTCAGACCGAGTCGCCCTGTTTGCGTATTTGCCATGCGTTTTGCCTCTTCACCGTTCGCCTGATCTGGGTAAGCCTTACAGTCCCCTGACCTAACATGGAACCCGGACTAGGCCCCTTTTAAAAGGATCGTAGTCTATACAAGGGCCCTTTTCAGGTTCCACGTCGGTTTGGGGGAGGGTAGAACTTACACTTAAATGTTTAGGCCAACTGTTTTGGTGAGTTTCTGAGCTTTCCACCGGCTGAGGTGCCGAACCCCTCCAAGGGCCGCAAAGAGTGGAACAAGCACGCAAATTTGGAGGAGCCGTCGAGAAATCTTTGAGCCCGGCTTTGAAAATTCTTATATTGGGATAATGGAAAAGAAAATGGAAATTACTATACTGGCTTATATAGGGATTATAGGGTATATATTGTGGGATAAGGGAAAATAGAATGGAAACTACTATGGTTAGTTTCAAACCGGGTGGAAAGTCCCTGAAGTTCGGTCAGAAGTATAGTGAATTATCATGAAGGCCTGTTAGAGTTTCACTTATAACTACCGATGAATCTCCAAGTGCAATCCATGAAACCCACAAGCGCGCACACCTGCAGGAGCCGGTAGAGATTCTGAGCAGCTCAGCTGCACGGCGATGTGAGCCAGAATCGAAGCTCCTTAAAGGGGTGATATAGGGGAGAATATAGGGGACTAGTGTGGAAGTTATTAAGGAGGATACTCCGCGTTTAGACCCTAAGCCCTAAACTCTAGTATTACAGGGGTTATGCAGGGGGATACTAAGAGTTTGGACTATGGTTCATGTCTTCTTGGGTTTCATTTCCCTCCTGGGACCGTGCTAGTGAGGGCCTAGATGAGGTGTGGCGTCTTTTTGTTTTTGGTATGTAGATAGGCTTCATTAGTGTATGTCCAACTTGGGAGACCATACATTAGAATCCTGCCAGAAATTCTTTGGGGGTATGCAAGGGAACGGCTGATTTGAGACGTGCAGAAATGTCATGATGGAGCACTGCACAAACCTAAAAGTCTATGAATCATCACGGGTCCTGGTGATTTTAGTAGATATTTGTCCAGGTGTGATTGCTACTGCTGTTGTTGTTGATGATGAAGACCCTAGGACCCCAACCCTGAACCGGAAAGCCCTTTATAGTTTCCATTTTCTTTTCCATTGTCCCAATATATACCCCATTATACCATAGTACTTCGCATGTAACTTCCCATTATCCCCATAAACCCCCAATGTCTCTGACAGTACCTGCTTTTCTAGGCAGATCATACACACCTGTGTCTGCTACAACCTCGCCGACACTTGACCTCATGGTTCGCCATTACCACAAGAGTCCAGAGAGGGGATTCCCGGATGGAGGCCTGCCGGCAGCGTGGGTAACATGAGCTATAGTCTAAACCCCTTGAAGGGGGGTTATATAGAGGATTATGTAGGGGAGTATTTTTGGGCTTCTTAAGGGGGATGCTAGGAGTTGAGACTATGGTACACATGAGATAGTAGCTTCAAAGAAAAGAACACGAAATCTGCAATGTGAAAATGTAACAGGTATCTATTTACCGTATTGCATCACTCCACAGCATGCACCAAATCCCCCGCCTAAACCCTAAACCCTACGCATGTACAAGAAGCCAGGGTCTTAAAAAGAGCTTTCACGGGTGAAGCAGCATGGAAGCCTAACCAGTCCCTGAAGCGATACCGCGATATTCTCCTCTACACTTCCCTTGGGTGTGCTTGTTTCTAAAACAGGCCACCATATAGTCAAGAATGGTGCGCATCCGTAGGCAAGAAGTTTAGAGGCTGTTATCTAAATAAATACCAATATCATAGCCCTAGATTGCTTGTAGAATTCTATGGTATAGCCTCAAAGTTATGTTGGTACTTATTTCGACCCCTACAGTAGTGAAGCCACAGATTCCCAGAGCGGAAGAAATCCTGGCAGGACATGCCAGTACCTACTTGGTTTAGGGTCTAGGGTTTAAGGGCTTAGGGTTTAAGGGTTTAGGGTTTAGGGTTTAAGGGCTTAGGGTTTAAGGTTTAGGGTTTAGGGTTTAGGGTCCAAGGTTCAGGCCTTAGGGCTTAGGGTGCAGGACGTGCCAGTACCTACTTGGTGGAGAAGCTGAAGGTAGGCAGCAAGATCCTGATGTCGGGTCCTCATGGACATCAGCTCCTGGTCTGTTCGTTTAGGGTTTAGGGGTTTAGGGGTTTAGGGGTTTAGGGTTTAGGGTTTAGGGGCTTAGGGTTAGGGCTTAGGTTTAGGGTTTAGGGTACAGTTAGGGATAGGGTTTAAGCATTTAGGGATTTGGATAGCCTTTCGACTTCTTTCTTGGTGTAAGACCCTAAACAAGTTCCAAGATTCAAAAGATGAAGACTAAATTGGGGAGCCCATGAATACTTTAGCCTTTAACCCTGTTTCTGGTAGTAAAGCACCCAAAGAGGAAGATTAATTCCTAAACCCTAAACCCTAATTCCCTAAACCCTAAACCCTGGACACCTAAGGCTCTACTTCGGCCAGGGCAACTTCCTGGTAGGCAAGAACATGGTGAAGCTGGGTGGTTGTTAAGCAATTTAAACAAACTTACCATAATATGGGTATATATATATATATAAAATAGGGTTCCATTATTCTACCCTAAACCTTAAAAACCCTACGTACCCTATATACCCCTCTTGTAGTAGCTTAGTAATAGGGTTTCCTTATTATGAGCTACAGTCTAAACTCCTTAAAGGAGGCTATATGGGGGATTATGTAGGGGAATATTATAGGGGGTACTCAGGGGGATACTAGGAGTTTAGACCATAGCTCTGATGGTAATTGAGGTTCCTCAACAGCAGCCCAGGAAAGCTCGTGTGTGTGGAGCTTTGGCTGGAGGATCGGGCCACTCGCCATGAAACAGGAGACAGCCGCGGTCTGGTCCCCTCCCTGTAGAGTTCAGTGTCAGGGCCATTTAGGGTTCAGGGTTTAGGATTTAGGGGCTAGGTAGGCACGGTACGCCGGCTAATGGAGAATCGAATGAAAAAAATGTCATGGAAATTAAGGAGTTCTATAGGGATATATACGAGAATGGAGAAGAACAGGGAAACTACTACATTATCTAAGGTTCAGGGTTTAGGGCTTATGATAAACCTTTCAAACCCCTAAATCAACAGATATTTCCACCTCTATATATATATATAATGCTACTATATTAAGGGTGTTTTCGCTTGGGGAGGGTTCGGGGTGTATTATCCTTGGAGACGATTAATGCAGGGGATTCAAATACAACAAAGTTGATATGGTGTTTAGACTTTAGGGCCCAGAGTAGGTGGTATTTATAAGCTTTGATCTCCTTTGTAGCACAGGAGCCTCAATTTCGAATGATATGGTCGAATGTTGAATCTGAGCAGTTTTTACTGGAACAAAAATAGTAGTTGGAGCACGGGTCATATTTCACTTTCATGTTGTTATCCCTGTCAAGCATGCCTCTACATCAGTTAGATGGGAGTTTCTCAAGCTCTTGTGGGCCCTAAGGATACATGGGGATACCCCAAAAAAAGTGTAGGCCCCTCATATGGTGACTCCAAGGTAAAGATCGAGTTTGAGAAATTCCCCCATAGAAGAGGGCTGCTTCGTGGTGTAGGGTTTTAGGTTTTAGGATTTTAGCAATCATTTCCTGGGTCAAGTGAAGCCCCACTCAGGCATAACGCCGGTGCTGGCGACCCTACGAGATATTTGGCAGGAGGGGCGCCGCGATGTGCGAGACCGGGACCAGCGGATTCTCGGGGAGCAGGCAGTCAAGATGAAGGAGTCCCATGGCCTGTCCTGAGCAATTTAGACTTAGGGTTAAGGGCTAAGGGTTTAGGATTTAGGGTTTAGGGTTTAGGGTTTAGGGCAATTTAAAGCAACCTCACCCGACCTCACCCCAAATGGTGGTTGATATACGGAATAGCACCAACATGGCCTTAAATTGGGAATTGTTTGTTTTTCTACGTTACGCTGCCTGTCAGTCAGAACTATAGCCTGGGTTGATGTTAAGGCGCATAAATTGAGGTACCAGAATTATTCGGAAGCAGATATATAGGAAATAATCTGGCTTGCTCGTAACGATAATTTGATTCAGGTTCCTTCTGCTGTCTTGTGCATGCCAATCCTTTTTTGCCGGACATGTTCAAACCCTAAACCCCAAACCCTAAACCCTAGCTCAGGTTTGCCATCATGCATGTGACTCGGTCTGCATCCGAAGCACTTCCGCAGCAGTGGTATCAGCCGCCCACCGGCTGCGGGGAGCCTGGATTGCTGTTAATTTCTGTCAAGGAACTGAAATTAGGGGTTGAGGGTTCGGGGTTTAGGGTTTAGAGTTCAGGGTTAAGGGTGTAGGGTTTAGGGAGCTACTATAATAAGGAAACCCTATTCTTTATTAGATACCCACATGATTATGGTAATTTACACCAACCATAGTATTATGGCGACTCAAGCCCTAAACCCTATGTACCCACAACCCGACATTATGCAGTGACGTACTTTAAGTTCCCTAAGCATTATATGCCCCAGATCATGGTAACAAAACCCTAAACCCTACATACCCCCATATTAAGTATTGACTTACTTTAAGTTTCCACAGCCCTGAACCCTCAGCCTTATATATCCCAGAGCATGGCAACTAAACCCTTAACCCTATGTACTCCCCATATATGTAGTAACTTACTTTCAGTTCCCTAAGGCCTAAACCCTAAACACCCCAGATCAAGGTAACTAAGCCCTAAACAGTATATGCTCCCCATATTATGTCGTAACTTACTTTGAGGTCCCTAAGCCCTAAACCCCAAACCAAGAAGCCCAGACCCTAAACCCATGTAAGCTTACCATTTCTTAGGGTTCTCAAATTTCCTTAATCTCAAAATCTCAAAAGTTTAACAGCAGAATGATCCCCCCAAGTCCTCAGTAATGGTAATGGAAATCCTCCCTAAATCCAAAACCCGAAATTCTAAACCCAAAACCCTAATCCCCAAGCCCTAAACCCTAAACCCTAAACCCTACACCCTACTTTTCCTAACAGCAACCCAGGAGCAGACGCCCATCCGCATGTCCCACGTGATCACGGGCTCGGACTCCGCCAAGGCTGAAGTTCCAGGCTGGGCAGGGAGGGCTTAGGGTTTAGGGTTCAGGATTTAGGGTTTGGGGTTTAGGATTTAGGGTTTAGGGTTTAGGATTTAGGGTTTGGGGTCCAGGATTTAGGGTTTGGGGTTTAGGCTTTAGGGTTTAGGGTTCAGGATTTAGGGCTTAGGGTTCAGGATTTAGGGTTTGGGTTTTAGGGTTTTAGGGTTTGGGTTTTAGGGTTTTAGGGTTTTAGGGTTTTAGGGTTTAGGGTTGAGGGATGAGGGTTTAGGGTTTAGCTTTTTTTTTAGGTGTTAGG